AGACCTGAAGCAGGAAAAAAATGCATCAATGGTCAAAGTGCATTCAGCAATATCCATTGGGGACAATGCAATCACACACACATATTTTACCTGTTTCTTTCCTGCCTGACTGAGGAGCGTCTGAGTCCAGGTGACACAGTATGTGTCTCAAGTTTCAGGGCCACAACCAGCCAGCCCAGTTAGGCTGTGGTGTGCGGCACCTACAGCTGTAGACCCACCACTGTCCAAGCTTGGTGAGACTCGTCCCAGGCCCCACCCTTGTCCTTCCGATGTTTTCATCAGTCAGAACACTGTGTGTCCTCCTCTGTGGTTCTTGGAGCCAACATCAAGTCCAAATTGCTCTACACTTGCCAGGTTTTATCCAACTCTCCACCTCACTAACCTCCCAAAGCCAGACACTGGACACCCTGGAATACTGCCAAATGTCCAGCCAACTCTCCTGTGTCCTTGCTCCCTTCTCCGCATGGGTACTCCCTCCCATTCCTCTCCAGTCCCTCCCCTGCAACCCTCTTCAAAATCAGCTATTCATTTCCTCGCCTCCTGCGATACCACAAGGATCCTCCTGCTCACCACTCTTATTTCTAGGCTCTACCTTCTGGTAACAAAACTAGCTCCTTTGAGGTTATACCATTTGACCATAACATCTTCCCTTTGTCCATGTTGTCAGCTATTCAACTTCAAATCACAACCCCTCATTCATCAAAGTTGTTAACATTTGGTGTCTATTTTCTTCTCTGCCTCAAGAGCCCTGCCAACTCTGCTGGTAGCACTGAGGGTCCATGTAGCTAAACCAGCCAACACCATCTAGATAATCCCAGATCTCCCCTTAGCCACCTCTCCTCCTCTGTTCTACCTCAGCCGTCCAGCACCAGGGGCACATCTGGGACTTCATCAGAGACATGAACTGTCTCACCTCAAAAGCTGCCCACTCTGGCTCACGCAGCACCTCTACAACTGCTGTTCAAAGCTCTCAGGACTCTAGCCCACCTACCACGGTGCTTACCCCTGGGCCCTCTTCTTTGTTGACGTTCCATGGTCCATTATTCCCAACATACCCTTGCCAACTGTTTGTTTTGTTTTGTTTTTTTAGATTTAAAGATTTTATTTATTTATTTGACAGGGGGAGCGGCAGAGACAGAGGGAGAAGCAGCCTCATGTGGGACTCGATCCCAGGACCCTGAGATCATGACCTGAGCCGAAGACAGACGCTTAACCAACTTGAGCCACCCAGGTGCCCCCACATGCTAACTCTTAAACTCCCTCTGCTTTTTCATTCACTTCTCTGGAAAAACTCCACCCTTGGAGGGGTTGCAAAAAAGGGTGATGCTCTAATTCTATCGTTCCTTTTTTGCTTATTAGCTGGGCTACTTCTACAATGAGAAACTTCCTCTCATCATCTGTGTGGAAAGAGAATAGCTGCTTGATATTCTCTTTATTTTTCAATTTTCATTCTCCAAAGTGATTAATGATTTTTTTGTTGTAAATATCATTATTAACTTACTGTAATATCCTCCAAGGTAATCAATGCATTTTTTAAGTCATAAATTTATGGGTATAACATATACCCCTGGATATTCCACTAAAACATGTTCAAGTCTGCCATTCAAAAACAAACAAAACAAGTCCCTCACTGGATCTCTCACCTCCCCCTCCCAGCCAAGCTGCCTGGTGACACCCAGACACTCTATTTCTTGAGCTCTCACTCACTCCTTTACTGTCTTTAACTGGAGTATGGTCCCACCATGCGACCAAAACTGCTCTTCCTGGGGTGCCTGGGTGGCGCAGTTGGTTGGGCATCGTACAATTGGTTTTGGCTCATATCATGATCTCAGGGTCATGAGACTGAGCCCTGCATCGGGCTCTGCGCTCAGTGCAGAGCCTGCTTGAGATTCTCTCTCCCTCTCCCTCTGTCCCTGCCACTCATGCTCTCTAAAACAAATAAATCAATCTTTTTAAAAAAACAAACAAAACAGCTCTTGCTAACGTCACTAATGACCACCATTTTGTCAAGATCAAAGTTGACTTTTCAGGCTTCATTTCACCTGACTGCTCTGGGCTGCTGGCCACTTCCTTTCTCCTTGGAGGAGTTTTCCCCTGACCATGTCACATCCTGGTTTTTGTCCCCATCAGTTTTTCTAGCTTATCATCTTACTCATCGATGACATGTTGGCATTCTTAAAGCTCAGTCTTAGAACACTATTTTCTTTACTATCCTCTCTGTTGAGATGATCTCACCCACACCCAAGACTTAACTTACCACTTATACAAAAATGTCTCACAGCAAATTTGTATCATTACCTTTCATCTCTCCCTCTGGACTCTCTATACACAAGTGTCTCTATGACAGCTCCCCTCAAATGTCTCAGAGTATTTCTACTTACTACATATAAAAATAAAGTCAGGATCTGTGGAAAAAAGAAAATAACCCTCTTCCAGTAAATGCCAGCATTGTCCAACCAGATGCACAAACCACTGTCATCTGACAACTCCATTTATCTCAGCTGCATCTCCCTTCTATCACCAAACCCTGTTGATTTACTTCCTGAACACCTTTCAAATGCGATTCCTTTCCACTCTAACACCACAAACCTCATCCAAACTACTGATACCTCTAAGACCATTACTGATAAGGGTACTACTGTGTCCTTTCTCCAAACATTCTGGGCACTGTAGTCAATGTAGATGTGATCATGCCAAGCTTTGCTTAAAACCCTTTAACGGTTTCCCACAGCTTAGGATAAACTCCTAACACTCTACACTCTGTGTAACTTGCCCCTACCTATTCTTCAGCTTCAGATAGAATAATGCTCCCATACAGAATCACTCTTCAGTCCCTTAACTACGATTTTTTAAAAAATGCTAAGGGACTCTGCACACATGCTTCCTCTGTCTGAAATGCTCTTTCTTCCTTTGATAAGTTAGCTCACCCTTCAGACAAGCCTCAAGAATCACTTGCTAAGGGAAGCCTTGCCCTGTCCAGATCATACCCCAGTCTCACAGGCTGTCACGGCATCTTGTACATAGCCTTTGTAGACTTGTCACAGCTGCAATTTCACTTTTTTTTTTACAATTTTTTTGGTTAATGCTGATCTTCTCCACCAGGTAAGTTTTACCGGAACAGAAACTATGGTTGCATTGTAGTCCCAGTGCCTGTCATGTGTTAGATGCTAAGTTAGTATATGTTGGATGAATGAATAAATGAAAATGAAGAAATACCCAAAAGTGGTTTGTCCTTTTTCAGAAGGCTTATACTTGCTATCGTGGAATGTACTTTATACAAAGTATTTAATATAGAGGGCATAGGGCAGTCCCTATACATTGCTAAAAATATTTGTTACACTACTATTTTAAATATGTTATTATAATAAAGTTTAGCTGTTTTATTATCACCGAATTCATTTTTTTCTAGGCAAAAACGATTTTCTGATTACCTTTGAATCCATTCCCAAACACTTGCCTAACTCCCTGAGGAAAGCTGGACAAAAGCAAATTCTTACTTTCTGTTTCCCTTGCAATTACAGCCATGAGACATAGGTCTGGTTAATGAAATATAAGTGGAAGTTTTCTGGGAGGCTTCTGAAAAGGTACTGATTTCCTGGGGGTGGAGGGAAAGGTGTGTGTGTTGGGGGGAACTGTGGCATTCTGTCTTCCTTTTTCCTCATGTGATGTGATGTCTGGAGTCACAGCGACTATCTTGCAACTATGAGGAAAAGGCCAACAAAACTGCAGAACCACTGAAGCAGCAGAAGCAGCAGTCCACCCCAAGCCTTCTCGCTGTATGAGAAAAGTAAACTCTTATTTTCTTTTCTATTACTTGTATCTAAAAACATCTGTAACTGACATTCGGCTCACTAACAAGATTCTCTTTCAGACAAATCACCTTACTTTGCCCAAGAAGTCTTTTTCTTTCTTTTTATTTTTCTCTTCCCCTTTTAATCTTTCTTCTCTTTGTTAAATTTCTGTCACTCTCCCTAATAATGTAACCAAAATAAAATATATATATACACACACACACACACACATATACATACACACACATTTTTTTTTACAAAATAGAAAATTAATGACAATTTAAAAAGTAAAGACAGATTCCTTAAATTTCTTATACTGAGTTGATCTACAAATATACGTAGATCAAAATAACATCTGTTTGTAATATGGCATCAAAAAGAATTTAGGTCTCTTTGCTTTGCTCTCTCTCAGACTAAAAACCAAGCTCTTAAGGTAAAGTATTTTAATGTCTACTCAGGTGCATCAATATCAACATGTGATATATTCTGATGTAATTCCAAAGTCAAGTATCATATAAATATGCAGCTAGACAATAAATCACTTATACACAAAGCCTGACTACACACATATAGACTATATTTGATTTTTCCAAAAATGTACATGCAAGAAATATAATACTTTAAGAACTGATAAATCTGAATAAACAGATTAAACTATGATTTTTCTATTAGTGAGACCAGGTACTTCACCCATATTCCTAATATGACATGCAATTTGGGTTTATAAATTAAGGGTAAGACCTAGTTGGTTGTAGGTAATGTTCTTAGAGTAAAAAAAAAAAAAAGAATATGAATTAAATTATCTTGGGCCAGTGTCCTTTTCAGTCTGTTCTCAGTCCCCCACCTATAAAACAAGGAGAGTGGACTGGTTTCCAGACTGTTCTCCGCAGAGTCTATCCAGGCAAGTCTGCAAGCCTTCCACTCTGACTCAGGCAGAGCAGATCTGCTTTTCTGTTTAAATATTCATCTTTTATGTAAGATTGTTAAAGAACTCAGTAACTAAAAATAACTTGAAAATAACTGGACAAAATGCTCTCCTTGGTCTCTTCTGGTATTAATATTCATGATGAAATGATTTCTTTACGCTCCTAAGCTTTAAATATTTTAAGAGCAAATCTATTCATCTAAATATGTACACAGAAAGTTCATGTGACAATGTGGGCTTGCTTTATTTTCAGAAATATATTCAAATAGAACTAATGTTTTTACCTCGTGAAAATGCCATCCACGATTCCAATTGTTGCTTCCTCCGCAGGAATGTAGGAGCCCATCTGAGCCATGATAGTAATCAATGCAACTTGTTTTATGTAGGAGCTCTTTCCACCCATGTTTGGTCCAGTGATTATCATTACTCTCTCTGAATCCCCCTAGAAAATTAAAAAGCAATTTCACTTATTGTACCCAAAGGGCTTTTATGTAATATCTATAATTTGGTCCATAAATGGGAATGCATTAGGCAAAAGATGGCTTTCTGGTATTTAAATATGTTACCAATTAAGTATCACAAAGGGAAGGAGGACCTCCTTGTCTTCAACCTGAACTGTGTAACTGCAGAACAGTGAATTCTGAGCAACGCACAGGATTATTTCTGCATATGAAAAAGGAAACAAAACGGAGCAAGTAAATGAGATAACTACTATGGCTTTCTCATTAAATATTCATTAATCTGCCTCTGTGTGTGTTTTGTATATTGCTTACATTTAAAATCTATCGATTTCCATTTATCCATCCTAAAACTACACACATTATATAGCTAATTGCTCAAGGCCCTAATGTGGGTTGGTAGCACAAGAATTGTCTCAGTGATGGATGACTACTAAAGAGGTTTATAGTACCAAATTCTAGATATCAGCTTTATCAGCATTTTTCACTGGCATTTCACCAGAGCATAGAAAGGAGGCAGAAAAGCTCAAACACTTGTACTAATTTAATTTCTAGAACTTGCCTCTATTAACCAATTACAGTACTTGCCACATATAGACTCATCCTAAGGGAAATTGTCCAGCTGTAGCCCTCTGCAGAGGAGTGAGCCCGAGGCATCCATGTGCTCTGTGAACCCACCACACTGGTTAATACCTGCCTGGTCAAGAGCGGCCATTGTGTAACCTACCAACAGCCCTAGAGGTGGCCTAACATAAGAGGGCTTCTGAAACTAATCAAATCATCTCTTGGGGGTTTAAACTGAGTACCATGCACTGATTCAAACTGGAGGAACACAGAACAAAGCCACAAAGCACTGGGGACCATGAATAAGAAGTTATGAGGAAACAAAAGGTATGAAGAAAAATTACATAGAACAGGGAGTAAAAGGGGGAGTTAGCAATGAAAAGGAAGGAAAAGCAGAGGAGAGTCCAGAGGGGTGAGAAACTTCATGCCAATAATGAGGGTCTCGGAGTTAAAACACTGTAAAGTCTTACTATTGAGGGGATAAAAAGAAAACCATTTCCATCTCTAAAGTTGCCTTATATCCTAAATTAACCAGACATTTCCAGTCTCCCTAAAGCCAAGCTGTACTAGAGATTTGCTCTCCCTGTGATTCCTTTCTCTTATGGCAGGTAGCTTTAAAATGAGCATCATATGTCTCCATTACTTGAACGAACTTGAGTGAATCTATGTTTCTCGGAACAAAAAGAGCTTAGCACAGTGAAAGCAAAGAAAGAAACTTCGCATGAATAGAATGATAAAAATGATAAAATAAAATTTATTCTCCTACAGAGATTTAAAAATAATAAACCTATTGTAAACAACCGAATATGTGGCCTAACCAAATATTTCAAAAATTTAAATAAAATGAACAGCTTTTTTAAAATTGTCAAAAATGATACAAGAAATAGATGATCTGAATAATCCTGTATCTATTAAAGAAATTACATCTGTAATTAAAAGCCCTTCTGTAAGAAAAACTCCAAACCCAGATAATTTCTCCACTGATTCTTGCAAATATATAAGAAATAGCACTCATCTTACGAAAACTCTTCTACAAACAGAACAAGGGCAACTCTCACCAAAACATTTAAAAAATCCAACTGAATCCTGATAGCAAAAACCCGACAAGAACATTACAAGAAAGAAAAATTACAGGCCAATTTCATCCATAAATATATACGTAGAACTCCTTAGAATATTAATAAACCAATCCAAAGCTACATAACATTTAGAATTTTTGAGTGTAAGGTGGGTTTAATATTCAAAGGCCAATCAATGTAATTCACCACATTAAGAGAATAAAGAAGATAAATCAGATGATCTCCAAAGACACAGAGAAAACATTTGATAAAATTCAGTATCTACTCGTTAAAAAAAAGGGGGGGCATGAAAAGGAAATAAAAGGTACAATCATTGGAAAGAAAATAATACATCTGTCATTATTCCTACATGTCATGATTATGTTCCCAGAAAATTTAAAGAAGGCTATAAAAATTATTATAATCAATAAATGAATTAAGCAAGATCTTTGGATAGAAGGTCAGTATTCAAAAGTCAACTTTATTTCTAGATTTTAGCAATTAGTAACTGAAAATAGAAAATTTAATGATACAATTTACCACAGTATCAAAAGAAATCAAATACCTAGGAATAAATCTAACGAAATGAGCAAGATCTCTACACAGCAAACTACAAAATATTTTTGAAAGAAATTAAAGAACACCTAATTAAGTGAAAGAATATATGATGTTCATGGACTGAAAGGCTCAATATTATAATGCTGTAATAAATAAACTACTATGGTTCTGGCACAAAGACCCACAGTGGAATAAAACAGAAACAGACTGGGGCGCCTGGGTGGCTGAGTCCGTTGAGCATCTGACTCTTGGTTTCAGCTCAGGTCATGATCTCCAGTCGTGAGATCGAGCCCTGTGCGTAGCTCAGCGCAGAGTCTGCTTGTCCCTCTCCCTCTGCTCCTCCCTCTGCTCACACGCTCTCTCTCACAAATAAATAAAAATCTTTAAGAAAAAAGCACAGAAATAGATTGATGTGTATACAGTTAACTTGCCTTATGACAAAGCGGACACAGTAGCACAGTAGAAAAAGGATGGCCTTTTGAATAATGGTGTTTGGTCAAAAGGATGTCTATATAGAAAAGTAAGAAATCCTGACCCCTAACTTCCATCATAAACAAAAATCAATTCCAGGTAGATTATAGTTTGACAGATAAAAAAACAGGATTACTGGACAATAATATATGACCTTGGGGTAGAGAAAGATTTCTTTAACAGATCACCAATCATAATTAACTATAAAAGGAGATTTAAAAATGGAAGTACATTGGGCGCCTGGGTGGCTCAGTCAGTTAAGTGTCTGCCTTCGGCTCAGGTCATGATCCCAGGGTCCTGGGATGGAGCCCCGCATCGGGCTCCCTGCTCAGTGGGGAGCCTGCTTCTCCCTCTCCCTCTGCCAGTCGCTCCCCCCTGCTTGTGCTCTCTGTCAAATAAATAAATAAAATCTTAAAAAAAAAATTGAAGTATATTAAAATCAAATGCTATTCACCAAAAGATGCCATTAAGGAAATGAAAAGCTACAGAATAGGAGATTATATGTATTATATATTTCTCAAAGACTCAAATCCAGTATACATAAAAAAACTTCTACAAATCAAAAGAAAGATAACCCCCCCAGAAATGGTCAAGATAACTTTAAAAGAACATGACAAAAGAAAATACATAAAGGGCTTGGTATAGGTCAGAGATAGGATTATAAATAAGCAAAAAAAAAAATTAATTGCCATATTCAATAAACCATGGTGAGACAACCAGGTACCCATGTAAAAAAAAAAAAAAGAGAGTTAGGCCTGAATCTCACACAGAGGCCCCAAATTGAATCTAGATAAGGGAATTAACTGTGAAAAGCAAACTTTAAACTTTTAGAAGGAAACATGGAAGTACAGTTTAATGACATCAAGGCAGAGAATGATTTATTGAACAAGATAGGAAAAGCAACACAAAAAATATAAATCTATAAATCTATTAACTTTTTTAAAAATTCTATTAAGTCACCAAACACAAAATGAAAAGGTCTAAAATAAAGAAGAAGTACTCCTACACAGTAAAAACACCAAAACAATGGGAAAGTGGACAAAGGACATGAATAGGATATTTACAGAAAAAGAAACACTCAAGGCCAAAAACATATTCTTAATCAGGAAAATGTAATTGCAGGATTTTTCAAGGGACCTATAAGCTATCCCTAACATTCAAATGAAGGAAACAGTGAAAATTTTTCAAGGAATAATTTTTGAAAGACACTTTCACATTCATCATATCATCAAAAGGCTTAAAAGTCTACTTATGCAGCATGTTGGAAGTATAGGGACAGCAATTTGGAAATGCCTAGTAAAGTTAAAGATTCTGTATACCAGTTTACATGACCCAAGCAATTCCTCTTCTAGGAGTCTACCCTAGAAAAATACACAGTACTCAGAAAGATATTTATAAGACCGCTCACTCTAGTACTGTTTGTATTCATAATAGACAAAAAAAGCACTCTAATTGTCTTTCATTAGGAAAATGAATACATCTACTTTGTACAATTATGAAAACAATAATTTACAAAATAGCATATGACAGGTTCAACGTGCCATATTTATGTACATTTTAAAAATACACAAAATTATAGTGTTAAAATATTATATTATATAAAAGAATAAAAATATGTATAAGGATAACAAGTAACATCAGGATAATGGTTATCAATCAGATAAGGAAGTGAAGGGGGAGGAAAAGGGAGAGCAATCAATTATGTATAACCTTAGCTAGATCTGTAACACTTTACTTACTTTAAATAAATCTAAAGTTCATATCACAAAGGGTCATTCTTTATGATATCTGAGGGAAGGGTAAATGGGTGTCTGTTCTACTGTTTTCCATACTTTTTCATTTGTTTGAAACATTAGGTAGCTAAAAGTTACTTAAATGCATTATCTTAAGATTTAATTATTTATTTCACGAATAATCATCATGAGCCATCAAACAACTCTTTATAAATCCATTAATATATTTAGGAAAAATTTACATAACTTCCTAATGACATCTTGTTATTTGGACTTCCAGCATATTTACATAAAAATAGAATACTAGATAAAAAGCCCCACATACCAGAAAGTAAAAGAGTGTAACATAAGATAGAATAACCTACAGAAGGGTTACATGTGCCAAGAGGAGGCCCTGAACCGTAAAGGCATTGTTGGTGGAACCGCTTGAAGCAGAATTACCAAACCTAATGAGCAATGGGGTTGGGTGATGGAAGTGCAGAAACAAACAAAAAAAATTTATTAAATAAGTAATTTAGGAAACCTATGAGGAAAAAATATAAAAATACAGACCCTTTATCTTGTAGAAACCTTCTTTCTTCCAATGCCTTGAAAGATAAG